CAGAGATCACTCCAAATGCAATTTCAGACAAAATTTTGATTTCCACATCATTATATATTTCCTTATCAATTAAATGAATTGTACTAGACTTAATACTAAGGGCATCAGATAAATTATAAAGCTCGACGCATTTCATCTACCTGCTCTTGGAACTGGGCTTCTGCCAGCAATAGCTTCTCTTCAAGCTCTTCTAACTTCGTCTGCAATGTGGATTTCTCAGCAAGTTCAGCTTTGAGACTTGCTAAGTTGGCAATGAGAGTCTTTTCTCTAGTATTCCCCTCACTTAAATGCCCTTCCATCTCGGATATTATGGTTTGAAGTTCATTCTTTTTGCTTTGGTATGTCTCTTTCAATGCATTTTTCTCCTCAACAACTGAAGATATCTGTATAAGCAGTTGCATTCTCATCAGCAGCAATGTATTTGACGTATTGGACTACTGGTACCAAGTCTAATCTTTTCTTTTTTCTTTTCCTTCTTTTTATAAGTAATTATCCAATAAAGAAAATAGAATTTGAAGTTTCATGAAAGTCTCCTGGTAGTTTCCACAGAGGGGAAAGGCCCACATCTTAATGAAAATTCCTTCTTATTCAAATTAAAATCTTATAATGATATTTTGAAAATATTTGCAGCACTTTCATGATTGAACTTCGAATACTCATTACTGACACATCATGTGGCAAGTTAAATGGCACTTTGAAAAAGGGTCAATGGTATTTCTTCTTTCATTTACTCAATCTGAATGATTTATGCAAAAAAACTATACCTCAAATATAGAGGACTCCATAAAAGCTATAGCATTCAAAAATGTTAAACATTGGAAAAATGATAAAAATAACTGAGGCCCATAAACAATTTATCCTCTCTTGTTTCCTAAAAATTGAGATATTTTAAGCACTCAGTTATGTCTTTAATGCATGCCAGAAAATCAATTACCACATTGATGAATAAACAAGGCATTTTGGTTAATTAGGACCCAGCCTCTTTCTCATCCTCTAATCTTTGGGATATTTTTAAAACTTCAGAAAATTCAGAAAGAAAATCGGTAAAATTTTGAAAATTCAGAAACCCAGGTGCCGAGAACCAAAGAGCTTATTGATCAATACATAGCTTTGGTAAATATTTATGCAACTAAAAGAAAAAGCCTTTATAAATGGCCAAGTATCCAGAAATTGAAACAAAATTACACCAAATGCAAAAAAATGTCATTACCTGAGCCTGGAATCTCTCTCCTTCAACAGCAAGCTGCTCTGTCAAGTCATTTATAGTCTTCATGCAAGAAGCAAGCTTTTCTGCTATTTCTTCCTTTTCAACTTTAACTGAATTAGAAGTTCCCTGTAAATCCATCAACTTACCCTGATAATCAGCCAGCTCCTGGTTCAGCTTCATGTTGGCCTCAGCCAACACTTCATTCTCTAATTCCAACTTATCTCCCTTACGCTTAAGCTCTCCAATTTCTCTCTCTAGATTACCCAACTTAGATAGGCTCTCTTCCAGTTCTACTTTCCTCTCCAAATCCCTTCGTTCATAAAGTTTTATTTGTTCTTCAAGTGTAGTTAACTTCTCACTCAAATCTTTGGCCTCAACATCTCTCACTGAAAACTTCTCGATCGACTCCTGAAGTTGAATCTCTCTATCCTTGATGCAAGACTCTTTTTCAGAATGGAGAGTTACATGCCTTACGTTTTCCTCATTTAAATCATTAACAACCTTTTTGAGAGAGTCCACTTCTGAGATGGCTGCTTCTTTCTCAGACTTAACAGAATTAAGAAGTCCCTGTAGGTCTTCTACCTTGCTTTTATAGTCGTCCAATTCATGGCCCAGCTTCAATTTGGCCTCTACAGATGCCTCATTCTCTGAATAAAACTGTGCTGCTTTAGCTTCTGATTCCAAAACCTTGCTTTCCAGTTCTTTTATGAGGCTTTCAAATGATACCAACTTCGCAGAGGCCTCTTCCAATTCATCCCGAAGTGAAGCAGCCAATGTAGCCCCTTCATCTGCACTCTCTTGGTATGTTCTAGCTTGTTCTTTTGATACCTTATGTTCTTCTGAAATGAGATTCAGCCTTTCTTCCAATTCCCTCTCCTTTTCACTAGCAACTTGTAAAGCAACCTCTAGGCTGGCTGCTTTGGCTTTCGACTGCTCCAGTTCACCCAGAAGCTCAGAAACCTTGCTCAAATGGTGCTTGGATTCTTCTTCTGAATCTCTGCATTTAACTTCTGCCTGGCTTATTTTTTCTTGGAGCTCTTTTTTATGTTGGTCAGCTTGTTCTAGCAAAATTTCCAATTCTGCAACCCTTTTACCGGCATCCTCTGATTTGGAATGAGATAATTGAATCAAGTCTTCAAGTTCAAGGCTCCTTTGATGAGTGGTATTGGCACGACCCTCATGTTCTGCACATCTCTCTAAGACACCCTTCATCTCTAGCTCAAGCTCGGAATTCTTCAGAGAGGACTGATCCAAGGTAGATTTCAACTCAGCTATCTGGTTTTCATATTCTCTCATTTGTGTTTTTAACTTCGCGCTTTCTTCTTCCCCCTCACATAGTTTCACACTAAGTTCAGATATCTTCTCATAGAACCCTTTTGCTTCCTTATCAGCATCCAAGCCTCTTGTTTCAGCTATCTTTAGCAGCTCTTCGAGCTCAGTATTTTTTTTCTCTAAGTTTATCAGCCTTAGTTCAGCCTCTTTGAGTAGTGACTTTGCTTCATCTTCGGTAGAATTTGAAGCATGAAGCAATTCTTGGAGTTCAAGACTCAGTTTTTTTGAACTGGCAGCCTCTGCTTCAGCTTCACGATACAATTCATCGAGGGACTTCACAGTCTGCTCCATCTCAGTATTTTTCGAGAGAGCTTCTCTAAGAAGTGAATTAGCTTTCAAGGACTCCTCTTCCAATGTATTCAACTTCTCTTGGAGAGACATGTTTAACTCCGCACTTTGGGATAAGCTACCATTCACTTCAGACAAGGCAGCTTCCAGACTTTCTTTCCCCTTAGCTGCCATTGCCAATCCATCACCTAATTTCGTGATTTGTGATTCATGGTCTTTCACAATAGTTTCCAGTCTTTCATTGGCCTTCAGTGCCTCTTGTAGTTTGAACTCTAACTCTTCAAATTGTTGATTTTGAGCTTCGAGGTTTGCTTTAGATTCAGAGTAAAGACCTTCCAAAGCTAGACTGTCTTGCTTCATTTGTTCTTCAGAAGCCTTGTGCAGATTCAACTCATCCGTTAACTCTTCAACACGAGCTTCTCTAGATGCAAGCACTTCTTCCAAATCATGGGTGCGCTTTTTTGAAAGCTCCAACTCTTCTCGAGCTGTAGAGAGAGAAGCTTCAGTGACAAGCAGGGTTTCTTCTACTTTTTGATATGAAGCAATCTTCTCATAGAGCACCTTCAACTCTTCTTGAAGAGAACCCATTTGTGCCTCCATCTCTGCTGCACTGGACTTGGCCAGCTCCAACACTTTCTCAAATTCTTGAGCCCTTTCAGTTGCAATTGTGGCATGAGACTCCCTTTCCTTCATCTGGGACTCATATCTCTGTGCGTCATCTGTTGAAGACTGCAACTTCTCTTCTAAATCCTGCATCTTAAACCTCATATTTTCTATGTCAGCAGTAAGTTTATCCAATGCATCCTTTGATTCAATCAGCTCATTGTGTTTAGTCTCATTCGATCTCAATGCTTCTTCGAGAGACTCAAGCTGTAACTTGTGTTTCTCTTCAGATTCTCTGATCATTGACTCAGCAGAAGCAAGTCGTTCCTTCATTTCTTTTTCTACCAGTTCAAGCTCAGAAGAATGCTTGGTCTTTCCCTCCAATTTCTCAGTTGCTACAAGAAGTTCGTCCTTTAGTTTCAATTTCTGAGATTCTGAGATCTTCAGTTCATTAACCATTCTCTGCAATTCTAGTTCAAGACCACTGAGTTTCTCTTCCAGTTCAAGCACATCTCTGGTCTTTTCTGGAGTACCCACATCTCTTTCTAAAATTGAACTACTCTCTTCCACTCCTTGAACAATGGGTGCATGTTTCACTTCCAAAGATTCCTTGTCGATTTTCACAAATTCGCCACCCAAAGCAATGTCCTCTTCTTCATGGCCCTGACTGGTTTTCATTGCTGAAGGAAGTTGCTTTTCCACTGGTCCCTCCAGGTCTTCTATAGTGACATCACTTGCGTGCAACACCCCATTAGCAAGTTCTTCTGGTTCTGCACCTTTTTTCTGCATTCACAAACCCATCAATATTATCAGACGCTAACAAGAAGCATTAAAATTACAATCACCATAATGTACAGGAGGGGGGGGGGGGAGAGAGAGTTACGTCTTGTGCTCCTGTATAAGAAAGTCATAACAAGTAAACATACACATGATAAAGGATCAAACTTTACCAGAGGTGCACTTGGAGAAGTGTCATCAACTAAGTCAGTAGCATGGCCCACATTTTTTTGAGCCACCACAGTGTGGTCTTCTCCTGAAGTTACTTTGTTTTCTTCTTCCATGCTATATTCCCCTGTTAAAAGTAGTCAATGCACGTCAGATCTGGGGAATTCTGTGCTGATTTTTCTTTTATAAATTAATTTTAGGGGGTATCAAAGTTGATTTGGAATTCTGTGCTGATTTTTCTTTTATAAATTGATTTTAGGGGGTATCAAAGTTGATTTGGGGAAAATTTATGTCACAAAGCAGTGATCCAAATGCACAATTTCAACGCATCAGACCACTATATATACACCGAATATCAATTGTATCATCATCATCATCCGAACCTTATCTTAACTATTTGGAGTCGGGCTACATAAATCTTATTCTGTTCAGGTTCATTAAAATATGTGGCAAAGTTTTATGCTGCCTGCGATACCTGAAACAACCCTCCTCATTTATCCAGGCTTGGGATCAGCATGGCTGGCTCGAGACCGGCCAAATGCCAATTGTATGATTTGTATAATTAATTGACGTTCATATCTCTATTGAACGGGTCAAAACCAAATGTTATTCGTGGAGATGAGTAGATCATGGAATAAAAAAACAGTGACAATGGGGAACGAGATACATGAAGAAAAAAGAGAGAAACATTTAGAATAAACACAAACGACTTATAGACCGAGTATTAAATTCATGTTTCTCATGGTGATTTTCATGACAACTGACTCTAAGAAAACCAAAAATAGAAGATGCAATTATGGGCTGCGAATACACAACTGATGAGTGCACTACAAAAATCAGAGAACCCAAAACTGGAATCATACCGAATGATTCAATATATGATACACAAATAAGAAAATCATCCACTCTGTCAAGAATAGAACTCAAACAGTCACTTCTTCCATTGCTAGATCATCATAATGCAATTGAGTTCGGCTCAACTGAATAAAATTCAAGTAATCAAGATTCAAGACAGTTACAAAAATTAAGAAAAAGATAGATCAAAATTTGGGTGAGTGGTAGACAAAAAGCCAGGTTTCGCCACAGGCAAACTTTAAAAAAAAAAAAACAAATGAGTTATTAGTCACAAGATTCGAAAGAGCTGGCTGGGGCTCGGGACTCAGACCCTGCACAAGACAATTCACTCAGACAGTCCAGGTGGACTCACTTAAGCAGTGCAAAGCTCAAAACCGCGTTAAAAATTAAAAAATGGTGTTAAAAATCAAGTAAATAAAAAAAAGAAAAATTGTGTCATGCGGGCTGGACCACATTTCTACATATCCAGTCCAGAAAGTGTAAAGCATCCATCTTAAAGATGGATGCAAGTAGGCGTTCCATCTAAAAGCAATGGAAACTAACGGTCCAAATGCTTTCATACTAGAAATGTTATTTCTAGTTTTTAAAATTTATTTATTTATTCATATTCATGACATCGATGTTAGAGATTACATGATCTTAAAAATTAAGCCCTCTAAAATCCATCTCAAAAATAGATTTAAGTAAGAGGCCGCATTTCTACATATGCGGGCTTAGCCGCATAGAAACCGGGTCCATTAAAAAAACCAACTACACAAAAGTCCAAAGATAAAAAAATATAAAATGTTCAGAAAAAACCGATTTATAGTTAGTAATAATTCAGAAATATCTTAAAAAGGGGGAAAAAATATAGCAAATAATAAGAAAAACTCATCATGGTGAAAAAACATCAAAATTATACATAAAACATTTATATAATGATTAGTGAAAAATATAATTGTTATAAATTTAAAAAAAAAATTTATAGAGCCCAAATTTGTACCTTGGTACTCTGCTTGACCAATGCTGAATTTGAGTAACTCGGCCAAGATTTTGAATGCGATTGTTTAGGACTGGGAAGGGCTAATTTGTGTTGGTAGTTTAAGGAAACCATGACTTAGATTTATAATCTAAATAAAAAAATTTGAAATTATATATAACTAAAAGTTGAGATTTTTATAAGGTGCCCACCTTATAATATACGAGGCATACATCTATATTTTTCCGAATGATGGAGTTCTGGTGCCGAAACCTTATAATGTCTTGAAAATCCATGTTCAACCTAATTAAAATTCCAAAAATTGTGCCAATTGAGGAAATCTATGAACACTTCATATTTTTGAAAATAGGCAGTCCAAATAATTTTTTACAATATACACTATTTTTGGACTTGAAATTATTTTTCCTTTTTTTTCTTTATATCCATACTAATAGAAACAAAATGTTTGAATTTTGTTTCTATTGCATACATCTCAAGATCGAAATGATCACTTGGAATCTAACTTCAAAGACACTTAACCCAGTCCCCTCGAGAAAGTGAAAAAAAAGTAACCTCCACCATTTCACCATACTTAACCATAAAATCATCTTTCTCAATATGGAATCAGTTCTAATTTTGACCTAAAACAAAGTATGTGGCAACAGTAACCAAGGCAAATAATTAAAGGTGTGGTTTGTTGGGTGTGTGTGACCATTAAATACCTTATGAGTGCTTTTAATAAATATTTTCATATAAGAGAACATGAACTCAGTGGGAGTGTGAACCCTCATGCACCATACTAAGCAAACAATATTTGCTAATACCAGACTGAACTTGATAAACTAGGGCAGTCGGTTGGGAAAAACCTCATGTTACCTAGGTATAGAAAACTATCCGATAAAAGTTCTAATAGATCATCCCTTGATAAGGTCGGAATATGCCCGGGTGAGTGAGCCAACCGACTATGTGACCCTTTTGTGTGATGGTGGCCTTCAGAAACAGTGGCCAAAGCCTCATCCATATGTCATCATACGGCATGCATAATGATAATCATTTCGAGAAAGCAAACCAGCTCATCCACAAACTGGGATTACGACCATTTGACTCATTGGTCAAACTTTGGTGACACTAATGAGCCCTACATGGAGTATGGGTCATGGGAAATACTGGATCGGTTTGATAAAGCAAGTGTGGACTGTAATCCACAGTTGAAGGTGGAGTGCCCCAGTGTTTATTTATTTAATTCTAGACCATATGGATCATTTTCCCATGTAATGAATTTAATTATGTTTGTTTTAATGATATATGATTTTTAAAATTATTATTTGAATTTTTCTTAGATATCTGGACATTTTATTTATCAAATTTGAATTTATAAAAATATAGATATTGATTTTAGATTGATTTAGATATTCAAATTAATTCTAAAATCTTTTATTAATTTTTAGAAAATATTTAAATTAAAAAAAAAAAACATTGGGGCCCATTGTGCACATGGGCCCACCATGCCCTAAGTTGGTGGTGCTCGTGTAGCCATCTTTTGGGTGGCGCGCCCCACTTTTAGGAGTCTTTCCTATTTAATAGGGGTTGGAGTTGATAAGAGAAATAACTTTGGCTTGGAGGCCAAGTTATTATATGATTTGGGAAGGTGATTTATCTTGAGAAATATTTGAATGAATCTTTTAGAAAGCATGATAACGTTTGTTCATATTTTTGGATAAAGCACAATATTATGATTAGTATTATTTTATTTTATTTATATTGATGGGATAATAGTCAAAGGAAATAAGAGGATAAAAGTTCTAGCACCTTCCATAATGATGATGGCTCATCTATGAAATGGAAGACTTAAATCTCTCACCCCACAAGTCACCCAAGATCAATGGTTCATATTCAATCTCACAAGTCTCACTAAAAGAGGCAAACCAAGAAAAACCCTGAGAAATCCTAATTTTGTTTAAGTATTATAAAAAACGGATTGATCCCTACCCAAATCTCTGCACCGTATCTCTTAAACCTAATTCCCATCTCTATCTCTCACATCCCACAAAGGGGGCATGCCACACTTAGAATATCTCTCTCTCTCTCTCTCTCTCTCTCTCTCTCTCTCTCAAAAGACCCAAAGGGGAATGCCCCACTCTCTCATCTTTGATCTCTCTCATGGTGGTTCTCTCAATTCTCTCATGATCTTTCATCTCTCATTGGGGTTTTACCCTATAGAGCTGTGATAGAAAAGAGAAGCAGCTCTCAAACTAGGTTGCTAAGGGGATTCACCTAAACGTTTGAGATTTGTAATAAAAGAGTTCATTGTTCCATTAGAGGGTTTGCCCTAAACTTGCTTTCCCAGTTGAGATTGGAGGTTAATCGTGGATTCCGCGTCATCGGATAGTAGTGACTTGGTGTGGGTTGTAATAAGTCCGATTGAAGTAATCTCCGGTACTCTCTTGTTGTTTCTTGCCATATTTAATTATATTGTCTTTATATTCCTAAGCATAAGAAATGTGGATATTTTCTTTGTTTAAAGAAAAGTGATTTAGTGGCATCAAGGTTTTTAAGATCTTGGATTTGTTAGTTTTATTTTCTTTGAAGCAAGAGTTGTTGTAATAAGACTACTTGTAAATAATCTTTGCCAAAAGAAAAGAAAAGCGTTGAAAGAAGAAAAATAAAAAATATATATTCCCCGGCAAGATCACATTAGTGTTTCTTTCATTGGTATATATTGATACTTGATGTCATTAGTTGTCTTTTCTCTTTATTGAGTTTAGATCAAGCTTGTGAATGAGATATAAAAAGCTAATGACCTTTGTAGTCAAGTAATACACCCATGGTTAAGAATTATTGGAATATTCGAACATTGAAAACGACACTCTGTATAATAGGTATTTTGTGTTATTTTGGAGCAGTGATATGAAGAAGATAATGAGTTATTTTTCTATTGCATACTTCAGTAATATTATGAGTTTTTGAGAGTAGGATCTACCTGCAAAATTTCAGTGGGAGATCCTAATGGAATTGAGAGTTATAGACTCGTCAATGACAGGTGTCAGTTCTGACCCTGCAAAATTCAGGAACTGTCCGTGGAGTTCCGTGATTTTTCCTACCAACCATATGATTTAATTTCTAACTGAAATTTGAATATAACTCATCAAATTGAGTGTAATTTCAAACAAAAATAGTTTCATCAAGAAATACCTTATGGTTTGAAAGATATGGTCAATTTATTGAAGGTTGCACAAGTGTTGTTTTCTGTAACGAAAATTATTTCAATGACTTGGAAGTCATGATTTTATATCCATTCTAAACATAATGTTTTA